CTAGAGATGGTGAACATTTTTTCACGTGTTTTTTGGCCAATTGAATTTCTTCTTTTGAGAATGTTCTGTTTAGTTCACTCGCCTATTTCTTTATTGGTTCATTAATTTGGGAGAATTTAGTTTTTTAAGTTCCCTATATATTCTGGTTATCAGTCCTTTGTCTGATGTGTAGCTGACAAACATTTTCTTCCCACTGTGTGGGTGTTCTCTTCAGTTTAGAGGCTATTTCTTTTGTTGAGCAGAAGCTTTTAGTTTTATGAAGTCCCATTTATCTATGCTCTCTCTTAGTTGCTGTGCTGCTGGGGTTCCATTGAGAAAGTTCTTGCCTATACCTATTAATTCCAGAATATTTCCTACTCTTTCCTGTATCAACTTTAGAGTTTGGGGTTTGATCCATTTTGAGTTAATATTGGTATAGTGTGATATACATGGGTCTAGTTTCAGTTTTTTGCAGACTGCTAACCAGTTTTCCTAGCAGTTTTTGTTGAAGAGGCTGCTACTTCTCCATCTTATATTTTTAGTTCCTTTGTCAAAGACAAGTTGGTTATAGTTGTGTGGCTTCATATCTGGGTCTTCTATTCTGTTCCACTGGTCTTCATGTCTGTTTTTGTGCCAGTACCATGCTGTTTTTATTGTTTTTGCTTTGTAATATAGTTTGAAGTAGGGTATCGTGATACCTCCAGCATTGTTCTTTTGACTGAGTATTGCCTTGGCTACTCGTGGCCTGTTTTGTTTCCATATAAATTTAATGGTAGATTTTTCAATCTCTGTGATGAATGTCATTGGAATTTTGATGGGAATTGCATTAAACATATAGATTACTTTAGGGAGTATCGACATTTTTACTATGTTGATTCTACCAATCCATGAGCATGGGAGATCTCTCCACTTTCTATAGTCTTCCTCAATCTCTTTCTTCAGAAGTGTATAGTTTTCCTTGTAGAGGTCATTCACATCCTTTCTTAAGTTTACACCTAGGTATTTGATTTTTTTTGAGGCTATTGTAAATGGGAATTGTTTTCATATATTCTTTCTCAGTTTGTTCATTATTAGTGTATAGAAATGCTAATGATTTTTCTATGTTGATTTTATATCCTGCTACCTTGCTGTAGCTATTGATGGTGTCTAGGAGCTTTTGAGTAGAGTTTTTTGGGTCTTTAAGGTATAGGATCATGTCATCTGCAAATAGGGATATTTTGAAGTTTCTTTACCTATTTGATTCCTTTTTTCCTTCTTCTTGCCTAATTGCTCTGGCTAGGAATTCCAGTACTATGTTGAATAGGAGTGGAGATAGTGGGCATCCTTGTCTGGTTCCTGATTTTAGAGGGAATGGTTTCAGTTTTTTCCCATTAAGTATAATGCTGGCTGTAGGTTTGTCATATATAGCTTTTATAATGTTGAGGTACTTTCCTTCTATTCCTAGTTTTCTTAGAGCTTTTATCATGAAATGGTGTTGGATCTTATCAAAGGCTTTTTCTGCATCTATTGAGATGATCAAGTGGTTTTTGTCTTTGCTTCTGTTAATGTGGTTTATTACGTTTATTGATTTTCATATGTTGAACCACCCCTGCATTCCTGGGATGAAGCCTACTTGGTCGTGAATAATCTTTTTGATGTGTTGTTGAATTTGGTTTGCCATTATTTTGTTGAGGATTTTTGCATCAATGTTCATTAAGGAGATTGGCCTATAGTTCTCCTTTTTGAGGTGTCTTTGCCTGGTTTTGGGATAAGTGTAATACTGGCTTCATAAAATGTGTTTAGGCAGTTTTCCTTCCCTTTCTATTTCATGGAACAGTTTAAGGAGGGTTGGTATCAGTTCTTCTTTAAAGGTCTGATAGAATTCAGCAGAGAATCCATCAGGTCCTGGACTTTTCTTTTTGGGGAGACTCTTGATTGCTGCTTCAATTTCATTTTGTGTTATAGGTCTATTCAGGTGATTAATTTCCTCTTGGTTCAGTTTTGGATGATCATATGTATCTAGAAATCTGTCCATTTCTTTTAAGATTTTCAATTTATTTGAATATAGGTTCTCAAGTAGTCTCTGATGATTTCCTGGACTTCCATGGTGTTTGTTGTTATCTCCCCTTTTGCATTCCTGATTCTACTAATTTGGGTTTTTTCTCTCCTCATTTTAGTCAGGTTTGCCAGGGGTCTGTCATCTTGTTTATTTTTTCAAAAACCAACTTTTTGTTTCATTAATTCTTTGTATGGTTTTTTTGGTTTCTATTTCATTGATTTCAGCTCTTATTTTATTATTTCTCTCCTTCTATTTGTTTTGGGATTTGCTTGTTCTTGTTTTTCTAGGAGTTTGAGATGTATCATTAGGTCATTGATTTGGGATCTTTCAGTCTTTTTAATATATGCACTCATGGCTATAAACTTTCCTCTCAGGACTGCCTTGCTGTGTCCCATAGGTTCCGGTAGGTTGTGTTTTCATTTTCATTGACTTCCAGGAACTTTTTAATTTCCTCTTTTATTTCATCAATGACCCATTGTTCATTAAGCAATGAGTTATTCAGTTTCCAGCTGTTTGCATGTTTTTTGTCTTTACTTTTGTTGTTGAGTTCTAGTTTTATTGCATTGTGATCAGATAGAATACATGGTATAATTTCTATTTTCTTATATTTGCTGAGGCTTGCTTTGTGCCCTAGGATATGATCTATTTTGGAGAAGGTTCCATGGGCTGCTGAGAAGAATGTATATTGTGTAGAAGTTGGATGAAATGTTCTGTAGACATCAACTAGGTCCATTTGATCTATGTATATTTTAGATCTTGGATTTCTTTATTGATTTTTGTTTGGATGACCTATCTATTGATGATAATGGGGTGTTAAAGTCTCCACCCACTGTGTTGGAGTTAATATATGCTTTTAGGTCCTTCAGGGTATGTTTGATGAAACTGGGTGTGTTGACATTGGGTGCATATAGGTTGATAATTGTCATTTTCTTTTGGTCTATTTCCCCTGTTATTAGTATGGAATGTCCTTCTTTATCTCGTTTGATCAATGTAGGTTTGAAGTCTACTTTGTCAGAGATAAGTATTGCTACTCCTGCCTGTTTTCGGGGGCCATTGGCTTGGTAAATCTTCTTCCAGCCTTTCATCCTAAGCCTATGCTTATTTCTGTCAGTGAGATGGGTCTCCTGTAAGCAACAAATTGTTGGATCTTCCTTTTTAATCCATTTTGTCACCTTTTGGTGGGTGAATTAAGTCCATTAACACTAAGTGTTAGTACTGATAGGTATGTGGTGATTCCTGTCATTTAGTTGTCTTAGTTGTTTGAAGGTTTGATTGTGTGTACCTAAGTTGAGGTTACTCTCTACTTTCTTGCTTTTTCTTTTCCTGTAGTTTGGTGCTGCCTGCCCTTTCATGGTTATATTGGGTTTCACTTTCTGTGTGCAGAATCCCTTGAAGAATCTTTTGTAGTGGTGGCTTTGTGGTCACATATTGTTTTAGTTTCTGCTTATCATGGAAGACTTTTATTGCTCCATCTATTTTGAATGATAGTTTTGCTGGGTAGAGCATCCTCGGTTGAAGTTATTTTCGTTCAGTGCCCAGAAGATCTCACCCCATGCTCTTCTTGCTTTTAATGTTTCTGTTGAGAAGTCTGCTGTGATTTTGATGGGTTTACCTTTGCATGTTATTTGGTTTTTCTCTCTTACAGCTTTCAATATTCTTTCCTGGGTCTCTGTACTTGTTGTTTTAATGATAATATGCCATGGGGTAGTTCTATTTTAGTCTGGTCTGTTTGGTGTTCTGGAGGCCTCTTGTATCTGTATGGGAATATCTTTCTCTAGATTTGGGAAATTTTCTGTTATTATTTTGTTGAATATATTACTCATTCATTTTGCTTGCAACTGTTCTCCTTCTTCAATGCCCATGATTCTCAGGTTTGGTCTTTTGATGGAGTGAGTTCTTGCATTTTCTTTTCACAGGTCTTAAGTTGTTTAACTAATAGTTTCTTCAGTTTTTCCTTTAATTACCATTTCATCTTCAAGTTCTGAGATTCTGTCTTCTGTTTGTACTATTCCACTGGATTGGCCTTCCGTTTTGTTTTGCAATTCTGTTTCGTTCTTTTTTCTGAGGTTTTCCATATCCTGAGTCGCTTCCTCTTTAATATTGTCTATTTTTGTCCTGAGTTCACTTATTAACCATGTTCTTTGTTTCACTTTGGTGTTTATACAGTGCTTCTATGGTTTCTTTTATTTCTTCTTGTGCTTTCTCAAATTCTCAATTTTTGTTGTCTTGGAATTTCTTGAGTGTCTCCTGTACATTTTGGTTGACCATATCCAGTATCATCTCTATGAAATTCTCATTGATTACCTGTAGGATTTCTTCTTTTAGATTATTCTTGTGGGCTTCATTGGGATCTTTGGCATAGTTTATCTTCATTTTGTTGGAGTCTGGATCTGAGTATCTGTCTTCATTTCCTCTCTGCCGTACTAATTTTTGCTGTGGGGAAACTGGTTTCCCTGTTTTTTCTGTCTCCCATCATTTGCCCTTGGTGTTGTTATTGTCCTGTACTGTGTGCAATTAAGTATTTTCTAGCTTGTAATATTAACAATGGTGATATTTAGGATGGAAGGGTGAGAGGAGAAGGAAAGCAAAGAAGTTAAAGAAAAAGGGAAAAACAAACAAACATGTAAAAACAAAACAAACAAAAAAAGTTTGAAAGATATAAACAGGGAGAGATAGTATACTAATCAACAGTAAGCTAAACAGGCATTAGAGAGACAGAGTGAGGATTGAAAAAAAAATCTCCAAGTTCAAATGCAATAAAGTTTCAGTCTTAAAAATTTTGGTGTTAGTCCCTCAGCCTTCAATCGTGGAGATGGTGCCTCAGAAGTAGTTCTGTCATTGTCTCATCAGAGGGGGAAAAAAACAAAACAAAACAAAAACACCACAAAGTGTTCCAAGTTCAAATGCAATACAGTTTCAGTAAGTTTTTCAGCATGCAGGTGTAGTTCAGTTAGTGCAAATTCTTAAAAGCCCTGATTCTTACCTTTGTAATGAAAACTCCAGCATCCATAATAGCTTTAATGTGCCTCAACCACCCTGAGTTCTCCAGGCCACTAAGAAATTCACTCATTGTTGGAGTTTTCAATTCACAAACTAAGACAGAAAAAGCAGAGATTGAAACTGACAATCACCTCAGTTTATTCATCAAGAAAGGAAGAAAATGGAGCCCTACTTTGCAAATAAGGAAGCTAAAGTACAAAAAGGTTAAATGATTATCTGGAAACCATACAGTGAGTCAGAGACAGGACTAAGGTTAAAGTCTACCAGATTTCCCAGCATGGGTCTTTGCTTTCTTGAGTTATAGAACCTACCCCCAAGCCCTCAGAAACCTCTGGAGACCCAAAAGACTGAGTTAGCAACTATGGGAAAATACCCACAACCCTTCTGGTTAGAAAACACATTTGATCCTCATCCTAATCCCACCCACTCATGCTAATTTTGCAGCCCTTTAACATCTGTCTCTACTCCTACACCTCCACCTACTTCCTTGTGGTCCTGTGCTGACTCAACAGGTTTAAAAAAACCATGTCAATGTACTTTTGTCTTTGTTATCCACCAGAGGGCAATATTTTCCCTCAAAAAATGTGTAAAACAAATTTTTCTTTGTCCACAGAATATTCTGAGGCAAAAAGAAGGCAGGAAGCAATCCAAGGAAAAGGGACACTCAGTATTATAACAGGGATGCAGATTGAGGAGACATGATCTAATAAGGGTTGTATAGGGGAGAGGACCTGGCCAATTATATCAGTACAAAAATGCAGAAAAGAACAGGGAGTTTACTAAAGAAAGCAGGTTTTCATTATCTTTTTCTGAGTTGGCATATCATATCATGGAATCCTAGGTAATAGTTTTAGGAAAAATGTTCTAAACCCAAGAGTCCTCATCTTGCTCCCATTCTGACCCCAATTATTTTGCAGTGACAACCAAAATTGTCTAGGCTAGGATTAGCTTTATACCTTTGAGTTCTAAATTTAACTTCTTCATCAGCACAGTATCAGACTGACTCCTTATAGCTGATTAGATGAGGTGATTTCTTACCTTGAGGATGATGAAATGAATCCCAAATTCATTAATACTTATGTTGGTCTACCCACTCCTGAAGACTCACCTCTGTAATTCTATAAAAAGAAATTATTTCCATAACAACTTGACTCAGATGTACTTTACTAGGTTATGAACCTAAATATCTTAGGCCCTCTATCAGACCAACACTGCTAAAGTTCAGTACTATGTAAGCTAGGTTCATATTACAGTCAAACTCCTTATCATTTATTGACTCTGCTCACCTCCTTGCTTTTATATTCCATCCCAAATCAGGCATGCCTTTTGCTTACATAATAATGCAAAGCTATGGCCTCTGGCCTTGCCTGTACCTTCCAAGAGTTTCTGCAGGCTGTTCCGCATCACATGGATGTTTTCAATGCCCATGAACTTGAAGCGAATGTTAGCATAATTGTCTTCATTTTCATACCCCTTCCCAGCTGCTCGGTTGGCCATGGCATTCAGCTGTAATAGTGGAGGGCATAATGGAGTAGACGGGCCAGGTGATGATCATTCTCAGTGCCTCATTCTAAAGTTTTAAATCCTACCCATTTAAAATGAAGTTGAATCAGACAAGGTACATTCCCAGATGGAGAAAATTTCACTGGTTTTTACATCAGGTACCTCAAGTAATAGACTCATATAGGGAAAGAGAGTAAGCATATTGTTTTTATTACTAAAACCCTGCTTAAGAGATGAAGAATATGGCAGCTATGATGATAACTGATCTGGAGAACTAAAATAATAACTTTGAGCTGCCTATGAAAAGTCTTTTTCTCAGCTGAAAGGACTTTATGCTGAGAAAACAAGTTAAAAAATCTTTACAACTGAGAAACTCTACAAAGACATCTAAGAAGTAAAATATCTAAAATGACTGCATAAAATAAGTGACTCTCAATAATAAAGATAAAACAGAGATACTAAGAGCTGTTTTTAACACTATGTTCAGCTGTGGTAACCACAGAATCTCTAGGTCATATGCAGAATGTTGGGCAAGGGAGAGAATAAATGAGATTTACAGAAAGAAAATATGAATAAAATCACTACAATTCAGCCAAAATACCTTCTATGATGATGACCATCTTCCTAATTGAGTTATTTTCTGTTGTCTGGGCAAGTTTTCTCATCTCCCAGTATTGTGCATTTCAGAAGGCAGGAGGAACATGCATGTGGACAGGGTGTAGTTTTTGTATTAATGGAAAGGAACACAAAAACTACAAAGCACAAATTATTCACATTAGCACATGTAGCCAACATGCTAAAGGGAGAAATGTGACAGTAATTTTTATCTTCTCTCACACTGACAATGTCACTGGGCTTTTAAAGATAAATGTCAAAGGAACACCCATGAAAGTACAAACAACAGTGAGCTAACAGCAAGACGTCTGCTATGAGTAATGCTTTACCAAACAAAACAGTAATTACAGAAGTCCCTACCCAGGCATGGGTTAGGTTAGCTAATGCAAAGAGCTATCAACATTGTGGCAGTACTTTTTGGAAATATGTCTGCAGATCTGAAGAACAGTTGGATATCAACATTTAGGTGGAGAAGAGATACAATATTTATTGAGCTCCTGGTATATGCCAGACACTGTGCTAGGTTCTTTATATATATTATCTAATTTAATTTTCACTATAGCTTCTCAAGGTAGGTACTATTATTATCACCATTTGGGTTATAATACATACATACATGAAAATGTCACATGGAGACTTCCTGTATAGCTTCTTAAACAAACAAAAGTGTCTTTTTTTTAAAAAATCAAAATCAGAGAAAAGTAGGGCAGAACAGGTCCTGTCTTTGGCGAGGGGGGGGGAGAGGGAAGGTTGTACCGGTAGGTTGGCAGAGGAATAAAGGGGTAGGAGGGTGAAGAAGAGTGAATATTGAGCAAATACTGTGTATAACTGTATGAAAATAGAAAAGTGATACCTGTTGAAACTATTCCAGGAATGTGAGGAGAGGGGGATAAAGGAGAATAATGAAGGAATTCAAGTATTATATATTTGATATATTGTAAAAACTTTTGTAAATGCCACAATGTACTCCTGGCATAATAAAAAATATTTTAAAAAATGAATAAATAAATAAATTACTTAACTTTAAAAAAATAAAATAAAATTAGGGCGACAGAAAGTCCTGAAAATAAAAAAAGAAAATAGGTTCCAATAGGTAAATCAACTTGTCTAGGATAATACGGATAAAGGCTGAAGGTAGGATTTGACCCCAGGTTTGTTTAACTTTTAAGAACAAAATTTTGTTGCTCCAATATAGTTTCTTCTAACAGTATAGATCTAGCTACCCAGAAAAGGGGAATCTCCAGATATTTCTAGGCCTTTCATAATTTGCTTGAATCTGCTTGGTATGTAGCTCAGTGCTAGAGTGCTTGCCTCGAATGCCATGGTACTGGGTTAGATTCCCAGCACTATGAGAGAGAAAGAAAAAAAACAAAAAAACAAGAAACATACAAATACACATATAACTTGATTTTCTTGAATTTGAGAGAGGAAACTTGAACCTGTTAAAAGAGACTTTCTGGTGTTGGATTTGGGCAAAAGGCAACAACTTTTTAGTTCTTCAAAGGTTTAAGATTATTTGATCTTGATGAAAAATACAGACTTGCTGGGCATGGTGGCTCATACCTACAATCCCAACTACTTATGAGGCAGAGACAGAAGACTGCAGTTTGAGGTCAGCCCGTGCAAAAAGTTAGCAAGACCCTATCGCCAAGAACAAGTTGGGTGTGGTGGTTCATTATTATAATCCAAGCTATGGAGATAGGAGGATCATAGTCCAAAGCCAGCCTGGGCAAAAAGTACAAGACCACCCAAAGCAAAACAGGCTGGAGGCATGGTTCAAGTGGTAGAACAACTGCCTAGCAAACACAAGGCCCTGAGCTCAATCCCCAGTACTACTAACCCTTCCCCCCTCAAAAAAATATAGACTTGATTATACTCTATACAGTCTCAGAATGTCACACACAGTTATGGCAAGCTTCTGAGAAACTGAAGGACTTTGCCTGAGCAGAAAGAAATAATTTTCTCTCCTGGGCTCAGCAGTCCTAAGCAGCTGTGGAGAACAGCCAGTGAGAGATCACAAAAATGGGGCTCATAGTTGTCTAAGGCCACTATCTGGTTTCATGCATATCTAATTGCTCAACTCTGAAGCCACAATCACCTGACTCAGGCTTGGCTCTAAATGATGGTTTTAGCAATCACTGGTTAGCAGTGAAATCTAGTCAGCTACACATCACATGTCAAATTATAAGAAAAATTATTTCTTTCTGAGGCTTTCTGTAAAAAAGGACAACATTTAAGAAAAGAGAATCTGTCTTTTACTTGGTTTTTGAGGAATAATGAATTCTTTTGTAATATTTTTGTAGAACTACACAAAATATTGAAGGCCAAAGAGTTAATACAGAGTTTAGGCTGATACTTAGATTTATCTAAAGGACTCCATGATCAGTGACACTCAGAGTTAGAAGGGAAACAAATCTGAGAAAACATGTTACAACAAATCACATAGCACCAGCCTCTTAGGAAGATCAAAGGATTTCAGTAGGTCCATGTCCACTGGTAATATTCAGGGCAAATTTATGTCCCTGGTCTTTTCTTATTCTTTGGGACCAAGATTTAAATGCACTTCCCTGAACTGGGAAAATTCACTCAGCTAACAGTGCTGGGTGCTTAAGTAGTTACCATTACATGAGCCAAAGAAATTTTTTTTGTTAATCAAAAAAATTAGTAGTTAAATTTGTGGAGAAAAAAACCCTTCTCCTCAGACACCAAAGTATTATTAACCAATTATGGTTTTAACACATTATTTACAGAAAGATATGTTGGCAGTACTAAGTTTCCAGTGTCTAAGTTCAAGTTCTTTCTCTGATCCTAAATTTGAGTGAAAATTTTAGTTAAGGAAAAAATTTAGTGAAAAAGATGAGGAGATGTGAATAAGCCTTTAACTCAAGGTGTCAAATTGAGGTGGCAAAGCTAGGTTGTTCAAAATACCTTCTCACAACCTCATGTATACCAAGGGACTTGCTCTGATGATTTCACATGATGCCTGACATTATAAACTCACATACACAAATCTAACTTTCCCAATAATGATACAAGTCTCAGCATGTTGGGGGAGGGATTGCAACAAGTAGGAATATCAGAGAAGTCATTGATATATACCTTTGGTCTCGTGTCTACAACATACATAAATTGGCTCCCGGGGTTTGTTTGGCTAATGGCCTCTAGCAACAGTTCGTCATCTACGCAGCGAGTATAAAATCCAGACAGAGGCTGGCTACAGCGGCAAATGGCAGCCTATAAGGAAAAAGTATGTCAGTTGAGTCATCATTTCCACAGATGGTCAAAAATCTTCCCTGACTCCAGGTTGGTGAATAGAAAGCAACTGCATGAACTCAACACAGTGTCCAACACAAAGAGAGAAGTGGCTGTAAAGCCAGGCCATTTCACTGACATTGGAATGAGCCTCTTTCCTCCACTGGGCATATGGTTGATTCTCAATCCAGTCTTGTCACTTGAACAGTTGTCCATTTGAAGACTTGACCATTTATCTAACTCCAGAACTCAACGCTTCCTATTTAAGGGGATTCAAACATAGGAGTTGAGTGTTTTCTTCCTACTACCTTAAATTATATGAAAAACAGTAAGAATCAATGATATCTTTATTCTAGTGGGAAGCCACAGCCTCCAAGTGTACTCTCATGTGACTAACTCCTTTTCTTTCTGCAACTTCTCACCAAGCTGGGAAAAGTAACAAGTTAACAAACTAAAAAATGTCACTTGATATCTGTATGACATTTTACAACTTATAAAGTACCCATATATTTTCCCCTCATGTGACCCCGAAGAACTGAAGGTCAGAGAAGTTAAATGACTTTAGTTACTAAGTCATTTAGTTATTTAGTTACTAAGTGTCAGGGTAACATTTTAACCCATGTCTTCTACAGCCAAGTTAAGTTCTTATTAGAGAAGTTTGCTTAACTCACATTGTTCTCTTTGTAGAGGTAGGAGAGCACAGGAACACGTTCTTTACTTCTGAACTTTGAACTTCCAACCACTGTTCCCAAGGTAATAGATCTAGGAACCACTATTTCAGGAGGGTAGGTACTACATATCTAAAAAAAAATAAAAATATTTTAATAATTTTTTACTTGCTAGCAACAGGATGGAATTTGCAATCACGAAGGCATTAGCTGGCTTGTATTTATCATCGAATTCCTCAGAAATGGGAACAAAAATATCCATGGTATAAAAGTTTTTCCAAAATGTACCTTTATAGTAACTAAAATTGTAGGCAGAAATACATATATATCCTTACTCTGAAATTCCTACAATAGAGATGGTAAACAATTTAAATGAATACTCTCATAAAGGAAGTACAAATCAAAATGGCATTGAGATTCCATCTTACCATTCCTGTTAGAATGGATATCATCAAGAACACAAACAACAACAAACGCTGGCAAGGATTAGTATGGGGGTAAGGAACCCTTATATACACACTGTTAGTAGGAATGTAAATCAGTGCAACCACTATGTAAATCAGTATGGAGGTTCATCAAAAAGCTAAAAATAGACCTACCTTGTGACCCTACTATATCATACTCTTGGGCATATGTCCTAAGGAGTCAACACCTGTGTTTATCACACTATTCACAATATCCAAGCTATGGAATCAATCTACATATCCATCAACTGATGAATAGATTAAGAAAATGGATTATATATACACACAATGGAGTATTATTATTCAGCCATAAAGAAGAATAAAATTATGTTGTTTGCAGAAAAATGAATAGAACTGGAGATCATGATGTTGAGCCAAGCTCAAAAAGCCAAATATCACATTTTTTGCTCATATGTGGAATACAGACCTAAAATGATAAATAACAATGATAAAGGGACATGAGTATAAAGGGGGGGACTGCCTTTGAGGGGCATCAACAGGAGGGAGAGGGGGGAAGGAGAGGGTGCTGGGGTGAATATGATAAAAGTATATTACATATATATAGGAAGATCATATGATGAAACCCACTAAATATTGTTTGAAAAGGGGAGGAGGAGGGAAAGGAGTTAAGACAGTACAATGGAGAGAGTGAATTTGATCAAAGTCCATTTTACAAATCTATGGAAATATCACAATTTATTAGTGTACAACTAATGTACACTAATAAATAAATGAATAGGGGCTGGCAGAGTGGTTTAAGTGATAGAGCAGGCACCTACCTAGCAAGTGCGAGACCCTGAGTTCAAACCCCAGTACCACCAAAAAAAAATAGGCTCAAATGTAAAGCAAACAGGTGGAAGAGGAAGAGGAAATAAAATTACTCTTTTGTAAATTGCACAATGGGTTCCTAATATGTATACCTGAAGGGCATTAGGAGTGGGATTAAAGATATTGACACTGTAGGTATGACTTGCTCTATAAAAAGACTGATGCATTTTCTCAAATTTATCAGGGATTAATTAAATATATCTTTCTAAAGAGACAGCTACAAAATATTATCACAGTACAGACTTGACGTGGCAAAATTAACTCTAATCATTGCCCCCTAAGAAATTTCCTAAACATTTGAAAACAGATCAAAATTACTTTTAAAGGTAGATCAGATAAAGAGTGCTCTACATAGCTCACTATTAAAGTGAATGACCCCAGAATGCAGGCCATTTGAAAAAGGTCTCTACCATCCCTTTACCTGGGACTCTAAAAGAAGCAAATCACACAAAGATACAGCTTCCCTTTTGGCTCAGAAGGCCATACACATTCAAAAGGCTAACTTGGATATACAAACCTCATTCAGGAGACTTAGACACATAATTGAGCTGCACAGAATTCACCCCATCTCGACTCATTCTTGTCAAGCAAAACCCAAACAAGCCACCTAACAGATGGCCCTCCTAAGTGGCAGCTTATCAATCCTCATACATAGTGGTCATTAAAGCTGTGTTACCAGAAAGTCACTGCACTTCATTATTATAACAATCAAAAGCTGGAAAGAATTTAAAGATCCAACAACTCAGGGGTATCACTTAAATGCAAATGACTCAAAAGTTATCATAGAAGGCCTGTTATCCTTATAAAGGCCTACTTGCAAAGTTGGTCATTGGTTAGTGTCTAGGCACCTGGATTTCAGCAGGTTTTCCACCATTCCCTAATTGGTAAGAGTGGATCGCTGTGCCTAAATTATTTGTACAAACAATGTGGTTTATGTTAAATATCTGCTTTCCTTCTGGACACCTGGAATTTTGGTATACATTAAGTGAGGTTGTCCACATGAACAGCCCCCAATAAAAATCACTGAGTCTCTAATGAGCTTCCATGGTAGACAGTAATTCACGTTTTGTCACAATTTGTTGCTAGAGGAATTAAGTGTATGATTTGTGACTCCACTGGGAAAGAATTCTAAAAGCTTGTACCTGGTCTTCTCTAGATTTCACCTCTTGTTCCTTTTCCCTTTGCTGATTTTATAATTTTGCTGTAATAATAATAATCAAAGGGTGACTATATTTCAAGTCCTGTGAGTCTTCCTAGTGGAACACAGAATCCAAAAGATGGTTTTGAGGGCCTTCAACATAATCCCAGACCCCTATACTCAACCCAGAACTTTTTCTTAAGATCCAGTTCCAAATGCTCAATATCAAATACATGGTATCTTTTGAATCACCTTGAACGCAAGTCTAAAACTAAGACACTGGCTGTTCCTCTTCTTGTGGTCCTCATCTTTGCTAACATAACATTCCTACACACTTGGTTACTGAAGCCAGGAATCAGGAAACTGGGATGCATATGAAATTCTTCCTCTTTTTCCAGCTGTATTTAATCTGTCACCATATTCTTTCAATTTGACAATATAAATACCTTTTAAATCCATCCCTTCCCCTCAATCTGTAGTCATTGTCTCAGTTCAGTTTTTCATCACTTCACATACCACTCTCAAGCATTCTTAGCTCCAGCAAACCAACTCTTGATGCTAGTAACAAAGTTATCTTTTCTAAAATAAAGATATATTCAAGTTCCTTTCCAATTTAAAAATATATTCATGGCTCCCAACTGTCTTCAGGATAATGTTTAAACTTAATTTGGCCATGAAGCCCTTCATGATTTGGTCTCATGATTTCCTTAACTCCTTCCATGTCCTCCTGCATAAATTAAGATAAAGTTTCTTCACAAGGCAATACCCCAAAATATCAAGCTGTTTTTGGTTTACCAGACCGATTTCATATCCTTTATCTATGCTCCCACAGAACCCTATGCTTTAAACCATGACAGTTCTGACTCAGTGCCTTGAGCATAGGAAGTACCCAATAAATGATTGTTGAATGGCTGAATGTTAAATGAAAAAAAGCAGGGATTATGAGGGATTTGCTCACACATTTTCAAAATCTCGTTTGCTGATATGCTTCTATTTTAATATAATGCACCTAAAGGATAGCAACACTCACAAAATTACCTCATAATTTCTGTTGGCATCTGTTATGGTCCAGTACCTGTTGGGTATTCCCATTCGCCCAAAGTCTGATATTGGGTCAATCAGTTTCCATCCATTTTCCCTTGTCTCTTTTGAGGATTTGGGATTATAAGAAAAAGCATAAAGATCTTCAGATAAAGCTGGAGAAGAGACGCATGGAAACAAAATAATGACAAATGAAACTTAAAGATCACCAAACGATATAAAGATTTCCTTCTCCCAAAAGGAATGTTTGTCAAACAACTCCAGAAAAGGGCAGTGCTTTATGTACATGTTTGCCTTTATGAGGAATAAGAACTGAAGTATTGCTTTGGATTCATCTTTTAAAATATTTTAATCTTTTGTACACTGACACAAAATGAGAACTTTCTGCCTAGTTTGCTATAAAAAAGAGTGATGAATAATAAACTAAACAGTTTATTAAGAAAGTAGACCTTACCAAAAGTTTTAAACTTGGCTTCCCTGTCCTAATTGTACTGCTTGTTGTAATATGTTGCAAACATTAACAATGTTCTTGCATTCTACCTAACACTAGCTTCTGGCTGATAAAATGGCCATTTCTGCTCTTCTCCCTGTCAGTCCTGCTTCCTTCTTTCACAAGATGCAACATATTAACATAAATTAATATGTTCATTTAATCAATTTAAGTGGCAATAACCTTTCCAGAAATGAATGGAGTCTATCAGCATCTTATAAAATGCTGGGTTGTTTGGCAGGTAACTCTGTCAATAAAATATCAAATACTGAGGAATTATTCTGGGGAAAGAGGGGAAGAAAATGGGGGGAGGGGCTTAAGAGCATGGAAATCCCAATGACTAAAATCAGAAGAAGTTAGCTGCCTAGGAGGAAAGGCTGGGGAATAAGAGAAAGGATGAGGCTCAAAAGAATAAGGATTACTACTGAATTATTAAGGACTTTGATTAACTGCCCTAGTTTTCTAGTTGGGACTGAAAATAGGAGTAGGACAGAAAGCCAAACATAAAGCCTACAGGGCCACAGGAAACAAGGAAATATCTACTATATACTACTATACTAAGTACACGGTAAAATGCTGAATGCATTTAAGCCTCAAAACAACCCCCTTGGGGAGCTTTTACTCTCCTTACTTTTACAAGTAAGTAAGCTGAGTTCAGAAGTTATGTAACTTGCCCCCAAACCACAGATCTATTAAGTGGCAGAGCCTGGATTCAAACTGTAACTCTACAGCACATGATCTTTGCATTAAGCCATTCTGGGAAAAAAGTTTTACATAAAAATCATAACTACCTGGCTGGGAAAGCTTGAGAAGCGAAATATAAACCTCATGGCACACAAGATCAGAGTCTAAAACAAACTGGGCTATCCGGAAGTTCTTACAGCGAAGTATCAGGGGACAACCTGTGCTAGTAATGGGCAACTTCTCCACAGTGGCAATATGATGGAGTGCAATCTGCAAAACAAGGGAGAAAAAAGGCAGATACAGATTATCAATGTATCTGTATTTCAGTAATGATAACAGCATCACCAAGATATAATCACAACTTCAGCAATGGAGGTTCTCTCAAATATAAATAAAGCATAATAATGGTAAAGCAATGAGAAGCAAATCACAGTGTTATGAAATTTCTCTCTCCTTTGAGATACAAGATTAACAGGTCTAGTGGATCATGTCAGAATAGATGACTTCTAGCATGCTATGATGGAATTCAAAAATCACAGTAGAACAAAACTTCTTTTTGTTCTACCAAATAACTAATTAAAATAGTGATTAATAATCAGTAGTGTGCTTTATTACTCACAGGGTAGTCCATGACTATTAAATACTTAATCCCTATTAAAAGCTTTTAATCACCCTATTTCAGGAAGGAAGAAATCAAAGCTCTGAGAAGTGAATTCCTCACCATCCAAGAAGTGCCATGAATAGGATTTGAGCCTTGACAATCTAACTATAGGTCCAGGGTTCTTTCTCTAAGAATTCTAAAAACTCTAAATCTGGAATTAAGATGTAACTAGAAACTAGGAAAATGCTCTTCTACATTTTAGACACTACTGATCACAAAGCAAAGAATATAGAATGATTATTCCTACCTGCACTGATGAGAGAAAAAAATAGATGCATAGAAAAGAAACTGATAAAAGAAAATGTGTCTAAATAATACAATTCTCTTAATAGGTTTTAAAAGCCATATAACTGTGGTTTTGTGTTTTAGCCTTTGATTTTCTCCTTCCATGTCATTAATATTTCCCACAACTATACAGCCTGGATGTGCTCTTTCCATTCTCTGGACTTCTGCCCTGTGCCTGAATGGCCTTCTGATCAACACTACTTTTTCTCCCCCACCATGCCTCAGCCCCCAATTTATTCAGAAAAGTCATCTCTTCCATGAAATCTTTCAATCACTTCCATAAGAATGGGGAAGGTACAGAGATCATTCACATTCCAAGAAGAAGTTTTCTATTTTAATTGTTCTGTTAAACTCAATTCCTGCTGTGGCAGTTTTGGAAATGCCAAAAAAAGGATTTTAAAAATGTCTAGATAATGTAATAGGAATTAATGTATAAAATCTCAAGAAAATCAAAGCCACACCAGTCAACATGAGAGATGTGTGTTTTGATAGTAAAACACTATCATCAAAATCAGGGACCAGGCAAACAATTGTGGTAAAACTGGAAAAGGAAAGGGAGGCAGACTAAGGCTGAGAAGAACTTCATTAATAATACTAATTGAGTAAATAATTCTCCTTTGACATAGCAAAATAAGTAATTTAAGTTTTCCCTTCCAGATCCAGTCTACTGGGTTTGAAATAATGCCTGGTCAAAACAAATCTAAGGACATGTAAACTGTACTCTATAAATGTAGTAGACAGGAGACAGGTTCATGCACAGCACTAAAGAACTGGCTCCTAAACTGTTAGGCCTGGAAGAGGACTTATTAATTATGTAACCTAAGTACCTCATTTCACAGATGAAGAAACAAGCTCAGAGGAGGAAGAACCACTTGTGCAAGATCACATAGCCAGTTAGTATCAGCTCTCCAGATTCCTCTTTTGGCATTCTTTTCATCACAGCAAAGGAGGCAAGATACAATCTCATATAGGGAACGATCAAGGGATTTTTAAAAAGTACTAAGACAGTTCTTTTCCATGTACATTCAATTTATTTTATACTTACGTAAAAGGATTGATTATATACTAGCACTGTTTTTGAGAAAGGGTGTCATTATGTATCCCAGGCAGGCCTGAAACTCACAATTCTCCTGTAGCAGTCTCCCAAGTACTGGGAGTATAAGCATGCACCACCATGCCTGGCCTAGGTATTTTAATTATCACTGTTTTATAGGTGAGGGAAGTCAGGCACAGAGAAATCAACTACTTTACCCAAAGTTGCAAAAGTGACAAATGTTAAAGTTAGTATTTCAACCTAAGCGTACTGGCTCTAAAGTCTAGGGCCTTAATCTCTACATATACTATGCCACAAATATGGAGCATGTTGTACTTATTATAAATGAAAAGGTCTACGTATAAATCTGGCTAATGATTAAGTTAAGATTAAATTATAATGCTACTTTAGGGTAGGGAAGGCATAAAGTAATATTAAGGGATAATAAGAGTGCTAAGGTAATTAGAAAACATTGTTTAAAGAAGAATCTCTCTCTCACACACACACACACACACACACACACACACACACACACATGCATGTATACACACACAGGTGAAATCCGATCTCACAATGGAGATGATTTAAATCAGTATTGCCCCAGGTGTATTCCAGAGACCTCAGTATTAACATCATCTGAGCACCTTTTAGAAATTCAAAACCTTATCTGGGTGTGGTGGTACACACCTGCAATCCCAACTACTTCAGGAGGCAGAAGCAGGAGGATAACGTGTTTCAGGCCAACCCAGACAAAGTTAATGAGACATTATCTCAAAAACAAAACAAAATAAAATATAAAGGACTGGAAGCATAGCTCAAGTGGTAGAGTACCACCAAAAAACCAAAAAAGCAAGAAATCCAAAACCTTAGGCTTGAGAGTCTCTGTTTTTTTTTACTTTTAACAAGCTCCCAGATGTACGGATACTGCTGGTTCTTAGACCACATTTTATGAGTAGCAAGGCTTTATTACCTCAAAACACTTACCAACTAACTAGGTTCAGAAAATGAGCAGAAGGTGAGTGTGGTAGTGCATGTCTATAATCCCAGCACTCAGGAGGTAGGGACAGGAGGAGCATGAATTTGAGGCCAGCATGTCTCAAAAAAAAAGGCAAGGACCGTGGATGTACCTCAGTGGTAGAGAACTTGCCTAGCATGCTCAAGGGCTTGGGTTTGATCCCCAGCGCTGAAAAAAAAAAAAAGCCCACACTACTCTGCCAAATAATAATTGAGCTACACCAAACATTCCTATGTAGTCTAAAGTGACTATAGTCAATAACCTGTGGGAAAAGGAGTCCTAAGATTCAGTTTATCAAAACTCTTAGAATAAGCTCTTTGAAGCAAGTTTTATAGCAATTTAATGCTACTTGATATTTCATGAAACCACCATATAGAAAGCATATACACCCAATTCTTTAAGATCTTTTTATATTTCTTCTCATCAACATACCCATGTTTCTTTCCGGGATGCACCAGAAGCCTCTACATAGATCAGGTGGGTTGCAGTAAGGTAAAGAATTCCATTAGCAGGCTTTTTACCAATGTAACGATCCAGTAGTTTCACGTTTTCTACCTGTTATTTGAGGAAAAAATACTGTTATCAACTCACCACCTGTGATTAGAATGGGACAATTTGAAGCAACATAAATGCTGTTAATATGCTACCAAAATTTTTCTTTGAGGCTTCCTGCCAAGATGACAAATTACTATAATCTGTAGTTCCTTTTACTAAATCAGCCTTGGGAAAACTACAAAAGTAAGAGGGTAATCTAGGAAAGACAAAAATTGTAGACAATGTTTATGTGATGCTGTAGATGTGGGTGGAAAATAGAGTCTAAGAGCCTGCTAAGGTACTTAATCTTTTTGGAGGGAAGGTGCAGTTATTGAATGTGTAAAACAACAAGAAGTGGAAGATAGGATAGATCTTAAAATTTACTGTGCAAAAATGGAAAAATGAGATCTGATGGAAACTATTCCAGGAATAGGGGGAGGAGGGATAAAGGAGAATGAATGATGGAGGGGTGAATTCAACTATGATATATTGTAAGAACTATTGTAAATGTCACAATGTACCAATAATATAATAAAGATGTAAAAAAAATAAAGTGCTTAGTCTCAGATATTTTCTTATAGCAACAGGAAAAAGACTAATAGAGGAGTGGTGGAAGTCATCCAATCCAACTTGCCAAAGGAAAGATTTAGAAAAATGAAAATTGTAAGTAACCAAAATGAAATGATGATTAATAAAGTGATTTTATTTATGGTTAAAAACAACAACAAAAAAAACAAAGCAAAAAAAATTACTGGGCAAGAACAAATCAAAACAGGGCAGAAGAAAAACAAAAAACAAAAGAAAGTACTATAAATAGAGAATATAAAATGAAATGTCAGAAATAAGTCCAAATATAATTACAATAAATGTACATGAATTAAACTTATCAATTAAAAGTTACAAACTTTATTAAAAGATTCAACAATATTCAGTCTAGAATAGATAAAAAGAATAGAATAGATAAAAATAAAAAAGACAGAAACAAGTTGAAAATAATAGGATGGAAGAAGGTATACTAGGCAAATATGGAGCCAAAATAAAGCTGGGTTAGAATTCTCAATATCTGACAAAAAGTAGAATTTACTCAACAAAGAATAACAGGAGAAGATATATGCATTATAGATGTGCATCTTACAAAACAATTTCAAAATATATCAAGTAACTAGTAGAACTGCAGAGGGAAAAATAACAAGTGCACTTGTATATTTTAATATTCTTCTTAGGAACTGACAGATTAAGCAGACAAAAATTAGGTAGAGATAACACCTGCATATTATCACTAAAAAGTTCAAGCTATTAGCTACATAGCATAGAACTCTAAATACAACAAATATGACATACAGAATCATTCAAGACAATAAACAAGAACACTTTCAAAAGAACCCCATGATTATGATTATGATTATAAAGGAAGCTTCAATAAATTCCAAAGATTCTGAGAGCTGGGGAAAGATGGTGGATTGCTGACATCACCCATGTCCCCCAGTCCTCACAAACCTGACAGAAAACCCCAGGTTCGTGCCTACTAGGGTAGGTTCTCAGGTTAGTTTCCTGAAAAAGAGAAAGCCAACATAAAGATAAACAGTAGCTAGAGATACCAACCTCTAAATAAAACTTCAAAAGTGCAAATCCACCACAGCAGTCAACAATTCCCAGCAGGGATCCACTCCATCCCACACCACCAAAACTGCCAGAGTTGTATGGGTTTTATTTTGTATTTATTTATTTATATATTTATTTTTCTTTTGCCTTTTCTCCTGTCTGGACCTGAGCTGCCTCCAGTCCACGAAGACCACCAGGCATACCAACATCAACAAACAGGGCTAAAATCCTAGAACAGGTCAGTTCCTGAACTGACAAAAGACAGTCCGTGACCTGCACTCCTGCAGAGATGACGGGTAAACCATTCAGGTGAGCTAGCCACTATCAGTCCCAAGGTCTACTGCACAGGGCAACTCAGCTGACTGCATAGCAATCCCACAAAAAAAGCCTTTGGTCAAAGGGATAGAGAGAATGCACCTGCAGACTAGCCCGGCTGGAGAGGAACACAGCCCTGCAGCCAAGCCCAGCTTATCTCTTATCCACAGGATATGAGCCACTCAGCTTGAGGGAAGTTAACTCATTTGACCATCCCAGAGAAGTCTGCTGGCCAAATGAGTTGAATCTGACCCCCCCAAAAAAATGCCTTTGGCAAAAGAGATACAGAATGTGCCCACACCAGTCTGGCAAAAGCACACCTGCAGACCTGCCCAATGGGGGAGGGTCCTAGCCCTATTGCCAAACCCAGCTCATCTCTTAACCACAGGAGGGGCAGGGGTCCTGCAGGCTAGCTAAAATGCAGCATCCAAGTCTCTAACACAAAACAAACAGCCACTGAACTCTCTGAATAGACAAAAACACATGCTCCAGAAGCAGCAGAGTGCTTTCTAACCCACTAGCTGTGTTTGGAGAACCCACGACTGACTCAACAGCTACCTCACACACCTGAAGCTGCCCCACCTCACTCCAGAAGCTGCCTTAATCCAGAGACCACTCTCCTCAACACACCTGGGCCATCCAGGGCCCTAAGGGAATTCATGTCGGAGCCAGCAGTGGGACCTTGCGTGTGTGAGTTGGTATCTGGCCTTGTGAGAAAACTCCAAGGTACTGAGGCAAAAGCCTTGGAACCGGACTGTGTGTGTGTGAGTTGGCATCTGGCCTTGTGAGAAAGCTCCAAGGAACGGAGGCAAAAGTCTCAGACCAGACCTTGTCTGTGTGAGTTGGTATCTGGCCTTGTGAGAAAGCCAGACATCCAGAAAAACAGTATTCAAGGTTCCCCAGATGGCTTCGTGTCCTTCAGATGTAAATAAGAAAGTTATGCTGACCGTGTGCTTCTCCTGCTTCTCTGTTCCCGTTTTAAAGGAGACAAAACAAAGAGTTAATTTTAACTGTGCTTCCCTGTACTAATGTAACCTTGACATGTAATACTTGACATGCTTTTTCTGACCAAATGCTGTCTGTGTAAAAGGAGTTTATAAAAGCAGTAGTATGCTTCCTTAAAGGGGCTACTGAGCAGGACTCAGTAGTCCCCCCATTCTTTTATGGCTTCGGTCATCCAGGTTCCGCCGCAACTTATAAACACATAAGTAAATTCAACCAGAGAACTGCACACAAAAACCTGAGGACCAGAAATTGGAGGGGAGCACCCAGTGTACCAACTGAACACAGAAGAAACCCACTCACCTCCTAATGAAGGAAGAAGTTCAGACTTAAAATTTTTTTTCTTTTTGTTAAAGTTTCAATTTGTCTATCCCTCTATTATTCCAAATTTTTTCTCCTTACTTATCAGTTCTTCCCTTTTTCCTTTTCCTTCTCTTCTTTTCTTCCTTCTTTTATCCCCGCATTCCCTATGTCTTCCTTACAAACCACTAAACTACTATTTTACTCTACCACCTTCTTATATTACTGGCATCCTACCTATCCTTCTACAATCCCTGACAATAGCACCTTTTTCCACAACAACAGAACTGCACCTCTACACACATTAGGGCCTTATTAACCTACAGCCCTCCACACCTCACACCTCTTCTCCCCTCTCCCATCCTCCTTCTGCCTAATCTCCTCTCCAACTCCAATTATTTTTACTAAGTTTTAATCTCTATGCAAACAAGCTTTATTTTTCCAACACCCCTTGTTTATAGCTAATACTACCAAGAGTTTTATATTTCACACATACCTGGTTTGGTATTGTTGGAATTAATAATCCTCTGGTGCCGAAAACAGACACACAAGAGACAGGAAATCTTGACAAGGCATTTCTCTTGATGAAGAGGGTGCAAGCATGTGCTCACTCAACTAAGCAAATACGCAAGCACAAAATGGCTCTTCCTTATATCCCTGACGCAGTAGTACCTGCCCCTCACCTGGGATTTGTCCAAGTCAAACGTTCATAATCTTTCCCGATTGGCTAAAAGGCTTGGGGGATGGGTTAGGACATACAGTTGGTGGGCAATGGAGTTGTACAGGAATCCAGATGAAGAAGCAAGGACCCTTCAAACATGGAAGTCACCTAAGATGGTGTCATGAGGAATTTTTAAGTAATCTAAGAGGGTAACAAATACTTTGATAGAAAAGATCATTTTTCTTACAATTTCCCCCTCTTTTAATTTAAATTCTTTTCTTCAAACTCATTTAGGAGCCATTGGCTCTCATGTTTCTGCATTTCTAATAGAAACTTGGGTTATTTTGGTAGGGCAGGGGTGATTGTTTGTTGAGTGCTGTCTCAATTAACTGCTGTATTAGTCCTTGGACACAAGGAATTAAAACTCCAGCCACTACGATCAAGGAGGTTAAGATTGAGGCCATCCAGCCCTTCCATCTTCCAAACCATTTTTCCATTAAGTCAGTGAAGGGATCATTTATACCTGAGTTCAGCTAACTCATTAGATAGGGTAGTTAATCCCTGTAGGGCCTTAGTAATAATTCCATCAGGGGCTGTATTATTTGGTATGCAAACTCCTCCCTTTTTGGCCAACATCATGTCTAATGCTAGCCTGTTGTCCCAAGTCATCTGGCTAGTTGGTCCCAATTGCTATGCTATTCCTTTAATAGCATCCCTGGTACAGTTAACAAACCTTTGTTGGTTATAATAAATATAATTAATCCAATCTACATTTTTATTTATAGTGGACCACCAAAAGAGTACTGATTCAAACCCCACTGCAATTTGGTTCCTGGCTTTGAATTCATTTGGCACTTCCCTAGGAACCCCAATGGTATCAATGTAAACACGGGGATCAAAGAAGCCTCCGCAGTTGGCTGCAGTGTCTATGTCTATGTCTCTCCTTTTTCTAGATGTTGTAGCATGGGCAGGGGATCTAAATGCTCAGGTGAAAGGGGCTGCCAACTGCACCAAAGCACAGGTGCCTACCCAGTTACCTGGGAGAGTCTCAATTAAAGGTCCTCCACAGTACCACCAGACATCGGCTCTGCCCACTGAGAGTGTGGACTGGTTTGTGAGGCTATTGAAGGACTGGATTTCACTGCATCCCATCAGGTTTCCCACATTTATCAATCGTTCCCCCCTGTCTGGTGAGACATGAGGTATAACTGACGTCAAGGGCGGGTGGCCTAATAGTCCTCGGGGGCTGACCCGTAGGACCTCTGACCTCTGGGAACAGTAGCGATAGCGTCTGGCAGGATTTGTTACCCCAAGCCTTGGCATCCTGAAACAGAGTCAACCTGCAATACATTCCATCAAAGGACCA